GTTGACATGTTTGTTCCCTGCTCTTTGCATATTTTCCTCCATTTTTATTTTGCAGACGTCTTTCATATCAGAAATCGTCTGTTGCCTTATTGAAGACAATTTAAGCTGTAAGAAAAGGTGTAGAGGTGTAAAAAAGCTAAAATGCTAAATGGAATAGAAGTATTACACCTGGTGTTGTTTACCACAAGTCTTGTTTTTGAGTATATGCTTCTACATATCACAAGATAGAAATTCACAGCCATGAAGAGGTGTCAACCTTTGTGCTGCTCTATTAACCCAATAAGGCAACAAAAACATTTGGCATTACTTCTTTGAACCTGCACGAGTCTGAAACAGTTAATGGTAAAAAAGGAATTTATACCTAGAAATGATGGGTGTTACATTCTGAAATAAGAATTACATATACAATTACAAATACAAGAGTATAATATTATATACTCCTTGTTCATTAGTTATGTTAGAATGAAATGTACACAAGCACTTCTGCTTCCTATTTTATATGACTGAATTTGGCAAAACCACCAGTCGCTGTATTGCTTTCTGTATGTTTTCATTTCCTAAAGTGACTGGGATCCAGTCAATACGATTTCTAACCCAAAAAAAGAATTAAAGCAAGCAAAGGAATGTTATTTGCCCCTAATAACTCTGTTCTTCTAAAAAAATGTTGGCATTTTATAAAAGAAGACAGGGTATCAGCTTCAATAACATGGCTGTGTAGCTTGTTCCACACTCCCCCAACCATTTGTGTAAAAATATTCTAAAAGATATTTTTCTAGTGGATTGTACAACTTGACATCTCTGGTGCTACACTGTTAACTATATGGCCTAACACTTTGCTTTTTTTGTTTGTTATATTGTTAATATAAACACTTAAATCGTTCTCATAGGTAGCTTCATCACTGTGCTGAGGAAACCATCAGATAAAACTTCCACACAGCTGCTAGTTTAAGAGGAGTGGAAACTGAACTGGGTGTGTTGGGCTGAAGATGACTCAAAATTGCTTTTTGTTTTTATACCCTGAGGCTGCTGTTATTATAACTGTATTATTCTATGTGTAATATATGCTTCATACTGATATATAGTCCGAATGCAAGATTTCCTGCCTCTCATTCAGGTAATGTGCAAACCTGTTTCCTGTCAGTACAACCTTTTGCCACAAAAGCATGCACAAAATGTAGTGCATTGCACACTTTAATCAAGGTTTTTCAGGTAGTGAGGTTTGCCTTAATATGTCAGCATATTAAAGTCCTGATTCCTTCTCTAGATAAACCATCAACATGTTACTCTCACAATTCATACAGTGTGACATAGGCAGACCCTATAAGCAAAGCAGGGCATGTAATAACGGTATATATTTATATTAGGAAATGTGATTCTGCTTTCGTGATTTTTATAAACATCACATATAAATATACTGAATATATATTTATATATATCTGCTCCTATAGTGTATAAAACACAAACAAATATACACTTGTGAATCGAAAACCAGAACTAAACTGACTTTAATTGAACATATTATATTAGTTCACTAAGTTCACTAAGAACAGCAATAGCGAAGAATAAAGTGCCTGAAAGGATTATGGAGTGGCCAGGACCCTTCTGGACGGTGAGGCGGGAGCACGTACAGTATTAATAGTGTTTTAGGAGAGGAAATGACATCAGGAGTGATTGATAATTACTGACAGCCAAGTCTGTTTGAACTTAGTTGTTGTCATCCCTCCCGAACTCCAATAATGTATTTATTTGACACATTCTAATATGTCACTGCATAAGTTGTCCTTTGTATACAGATTGGCTCTCTTGTTGTGGATTGTTAAAAATGATCTGTCCAGAAAACTACCATGTCACAGTGCACACAGGCTGGACAGGACTATTGTTTGCCTCTGCTTTTTGAAATTTGAATTTCTTCAAATTTTCACTTTTAAAAGATTTCGCAGCACAATTGTGAAATGCGTATGCAAAGTTTTAATTTCACACTTTGATGTAGAAATACCTAAAACACAGGAAATACGGAGAACATGCAGCTTCTTTTTGACAGGCCTGGTGGGTTTCAGAACAAAACCGGTAAAAATATTTTGATCTTATAAAAAAGGAAGTGAATTTTATTCAGTGAAAAAGAAGAATGACTTCATGTATGGTTTTACCTGAATGAAAGTGAACCTTATTGTTTATTATAATTTTGTTAGCTGTGAACGTATCGTTCAGTGCATTTGTATTGATAATTTTACATTGTTGCTACAGAAGTGCAATTGTGCTTATTCATATATTTGTGCTTACCTGGTGCCTGCTTGGTTGTTAGATTATTTACTACTAACCTAGCAAAGGCTCAAAAGGGTTGTTGTGTTTTAAAGGAATCAATTGCTTAAGTTTTTAATCTGTGAATGAATATGGCAGGATTTATCACAGGATTTTTACACAGAGCTTGGGATATAAATAGCAGACGTATTTCTTAAACTATGAATGTGGCATACCCACAAAGTCTATGAATCCTCATTTAGAAAACATTTCCATTTTTGATTCACAGACAAAGTATAGTATGTATTGGTAAAGAGAGACAAGAAAACAGCTGTTATGCAGCATGAATTCTGAGATTCAGTAACAGGTCTGGACAGGGGGTCCATGACGCCTGTAAGATGGATTACTTAATATCCTTGTTTGGAAATATGCTGAAGCACACTGCTGCCATTAAGGAAAAAAATATTTCACATATAAAATTATCTCATTGTTACAAGATAGTAATAGATCTCGTTATTACAAGATAGTAAATTATCACGTAATTACAAGATCTCAATGATCATATGAGTGCATAAACAGCTTATTACATTGTACTATGACAGTACCTAGAAGCTACCGATACCTCAGCTGGAAATCTGGGTTAAGAGTTTGTGACAAAGCCTAAACTGGGGTTTAGTTATAACGAAATGTTAGAATTTTTACATAATGTGACACAACTGAAAGTAAACTTATGATAATATAGGCATTGTATGACAATAGCTCTGCTTCTTGATTATCACATAAAATATGCAATTTACTATATTGTAATAAATGATTTTCACGTAATTATCAGATAACACATGAAATATTTTGATACTAATTAGAACTGAAAGAAAAATTACAACTCTCCCCCAAATATAAAACTGAATCAATTAGCCTGTGATGAGGAACCCCAAAAGGGTATAAACTCAAGTAAACCCAGAAGCCATGGTGTTCCTCCAGAACCAGCACTGAGAACCACAATTCTAACCAGTAACAAGGTTTTGTTATTCCTATCAACAGGTTTTCTGAGTAGTAGGGCTGGTATTCCTGGCACTGATCAAATAAAAACACATAGGAATCCACAAAAAATATTCTTATTATGTATGTCCAATTAAGGATAATGTAACTGCTTTTCTTGTCCGAGTACATCTCAAGAAATTAAACTTAGTTTAACCTAGTTGGCATTTCACCAAGCAACACAATCTGAAATCCATTTTGCTTGATTCTATGCAAATGTATTTGTTTAAATATGTTCAATATTTTAATCCATTTGGATTTGACCCTACAAAAATAACTGCCCAAGTTACAAGGAGTTTATAACAGAAGTTCAGGAGGAAGATTAGATCACAATCTTGCCCCACTTCCGTTCACCTATGCGTACACAAATCTCAGGAATTCCCTTAGTGTATCCCTCTCACACCCCTGTAGCCACCCTTGCAGCAGCTCCCTGGCTCATTCCTTGTGAAAGTAAGCAGCAGTTCAGTCAGCCCCATCCTTACAGTCAGGCTCCCAGTCCATCAGCTAGGAGAGTCACGCCAAATAAAATCATACATTTGTCTGCTTATCACATTCATGTACCACTGAAAGACAGATTATGGACTGTTTGCACTGAAGAGTTTATGCAGTCTGTTCTGTTACAGAAGGAACCACTTCCTTGCGTCTGTGGTTTCTGAGGGAACCGAACCAGTGATTCACATGTATCTTTACTTAACCTGCAGCTTAGACCTAGACAAATTGGTTGGTCTAAGCCAGTAGTGGTAGCCCTGGCCCAGAAGCCCACAATCCAGCCAGTTTTATAGGTTACCCCTCCGTTTCTAAACACAAAGAAGCTTGACATCATTTTAAATAAAACTCCCAGGATGCTGCAGGTCACAAGAATGACAACTGGCCTTTCCTGACCTAATTGAAACAATTAACTGAAGGAAGTGGTCAGAGCTCATATGTTCCAGGTCCTCCAGTCTGTGGGCTTTGAGGACCGAGGATGTGCACACCTGCTATAAAGGAATGTCGAGTACATTGATTTGACTGCCAGTCTTTGCAGAAGAGGAGAAAATCAAATACATACACAAAAAGCACATATATAATTGTTTATATACATTTGACATTTGCTGGTATTTTTCTCTGCAGAGTGAGAAAGACACAATCACACATTAATCCTGAACTGTAAAACTGACTTGCAGCTTCAATTTCTTCAGCAAAGAAGAAAATAAGTTACAGTTTTAAGTTTGGAGTACAGATTGAGCAAATTTTAGAGTGCATTTTCATTGAGATTTCTCATAAAAATGCACGATATCATGGATTTTGTAAAGAAAATACCTTACCTATGCTGTAGTGCCGAACATTAGCTTGCCTTAAACAAATCTATACACCCACAATTTAAAGGATCACACTTCCTTTGAGTTTTTGGAAGCTGACAAAGTATTTTTTGAGTGGGTTTGTTAAATTGCATTCAGAAAAAGATTCACTTGTTCCAAAAACATGATGTGAACATGATGCTGGATTTTTTTTTTTATTTGCACAGGAAGAAAGACGTACAGTACAGAATATTGTGACTTGCATGGCTGGATCTATTCTATACAGGCTGCAAGGAGATGCATTAGCCGTGACCTGCATTACCATGTTTATCTGACTCAGAACTTCCAGTTCACTCCCCCCTGACATCTCTGCAAAATATTTTCAATTAAAGTTAAAAAAATACTTTGCAACGTGTGAGAAAAGTGTTTATTTGATTAAATAGCAGAACTATTTAAAGCTAAACATTTTCATTGTTTAAGCAAATATTTTACAATATGCACAACACTTTTTTAATACAACAACCAACTCAAAAGCAGCGGTGGAAAGTCTGTTACATTACATTGTTCTCAGACCGGTGACACAGAGGGCAGCTGTATCTCCAAGTCTAAGCAAAGTTTGTGGCATTTTTACCATTACAGACAATAATCTCCATATCTGAGCCTCCAAAAGAGGGGGATTGTGCAACAGTACAACATTAAAGGGATCTAGTCAATTGAGAAATATTTCACAGGACCTCTCTTGACCATTTCAGTTAAATGTAATTTTATACAGGTGGAATTAAATTAAGTCACAGCTTGTGGTATTCATAAAACATTATAGAGCCATGACAAATGTGCAAAAGATTCATAAATAAAACGAAATAAAATAAAATCACAGGAAACTTCAAGTATTTCCCTTAAAGCCATTTCTTTAGTTCCAATACATTCAAATTAGTTTTCAGAGTAAATCTCCCATTTCTAAGGATACTGAAACTGCATTCTCTGCTAGAGCATTGAAGAACAGTACAATGGAAGTATGTACAACAGCAAATACAACAGCCATAGCCATGACATAATTGTCCTACATAATTGATTGGATTTAAACTCAGCTAACATACAGCAGGATGTTACATCTATAGGCAGGATGGCTTGGCAGTGAGAGCCACTCACAGTCTGTTACAGTTGTGCTTTACCCCAGCCTGTGACTGTTTCAAGTTGTCCATCAATGTGTATTTATTAATCAGTAACTAAAGGCTTGCGAAGGAATGGACACAAATGCTCATGGGAGAAATATTAGCATTTGCTCTAGATGACATCATTGATCCTTGGTGTGACCCTTGTGAAAATAAACAGGGCTTCCTGTCAAAGCCTTTTTATATTTGTGCCAGTTGAACTACCCTGATAATATCTGCTTTGTTCACAACTTACAAAGGGAGTACTGTACAAATCTACATTATTCTGACTTTAACCCTGTCAGAAAAAGTATTAAAAACAGATTGAACTTGTAAGCTATTTAAATACCAACAATATTAATTACATAAATCTCGACATCTACAAATTGCACAAAACTTCAACCTTTAAAACACAATATAAAAACAATATTCATGCACTCTGAAATTGAAACATTAAACATTAAACATTAGAGTTTTTCGGTGAGATAGAGTAATCTGACTCTCACAATCAGATTTAAGAGACCACTTTTAACCGAAAGTTAACCATACATTGTTAAGGTGTTGTGGTATTTTGTCGACTTGTTTCAGTTTCTTATCAGACATTACTGGAAGTGAGGGGCCTCCCACCTCCATCTGTGAAACAGGAGAAGAAATTTGAGCCGGTGGGGGAAAATCTTTTGATTATATGAAAAATACAAATGTTTGGAATTTCCCATTAGTTTCATGAGGGGTTAAAACATTACATTCTCCAACGTCTTAGTGCTTTATTCCAGTATCAAAGACCAGAGAGAATTCTCATAAAAACATATGCACCAGAGAGGGAAAATCAAGAGTTACTGTAATTCTGTCATGTGTTTTTAAGATAACTAGACATACACTATTTATATAAAGGTTTTAGATTTTAAAGACACAAAATGATATACAATAATTATTTGAATCAGTGGACAAAAACGTTACTAAACTGTTTGAGAAACATCAGAAATGTTGTTATTTCAAGCATTCCTCTTCATAATTTGTCTATTGATTTTCTGGTTAAGGAACAATATATGTCAAACCTGAAATGAAAAGTTAGGATTACTGATGTAAATATCTCACTGATGGAATAAAGTTAAAAAGTAAAGGAAAGCTTCTCTCTGTCTGTACTAATAGAAAGCACTAGATGGAACATTCAGATGTACATGAACATTCTGGAGGCACTACTTTACTCAAAGGGTTATGGGAGTATGAGACAAGCTATTTAGCCAAGGCTGGGATCCACAGAACAAATAGTTACTTAATATCTAGTATATGAATGGGCCAAATGGTGTCTCATTTGCAAACTAACTTAAGTTCTTTCATGTTCTAAATTTCTAAAGTGGAAAATTATAGGTAACAGTGATGTCACAATGTTTTGGGTTTTTCGAATACAATACCTTTGTGATAAGTGTCACCTCCAGAATACAAAACTAGCTCATTTATACCCTTAAAATTCAATTTTACAATGTATAAAAATGCCTGCAATTTTTCAAAAACTGAGTTTTTCTTACTTTTTACTCATTCATAAGCTATTACACTGTTATGCCTTTGACATACAAATGCTGTGGCATAGGGTGATGCAGGAATTAAATAAACATTAATTTAAATAGCATTAAAACAGAGAAAATAATACAATATATACTGTATATACAATCATGGACTGTGAAAATCTCAGTTGGGTTAAAACATTGAAAGGTGTGCTGTGGTATTCTGAAGTTTGTAAGGAGAAAATAGTTCATCTATAGATAGCAAAGGAGTTACATAATTGGCTCTTCTTCAAGCATGTGCAAACCCCGTCCTTTCTCAGCTCTGGTCAGTGGTTGTTTGACAGCCTGTCCCCACTCCTTTTGAAGTTCAAGACATTTAACTTTGGTTCACCTCACATTATGCAACAAAACTCAGGCCCTCTTCCCTCAGTTGATGCTGTATGTGTACGAATAAAGACCACCATCCCGCCACCCCTCCTCTCCTGCAAGTTCAAGAACTCAATGTGTGCACCCTGACCTCCTTGAGAAAATATTTTTCCTCCTCACAACCCTGCTCAAAGAATTTGTCAATCACCTTGTGGAACCTTAAACATCGAACTTCATTCATAAATATAGTGTCTTTGCATCTAAGAATGGAAGAAAAGTTCATGACTGTATGAAATGAACTAAACACTCTTACAACAAGACATTTGTTGAAAACAAGGCAGGAGAGTGTCCACCCTCTTCCTGCTATCACTAGGACACTTAGAACAGCCATAGAGAATCCCAAGACACTGTGAATGCTGCAGAAATAATGTAAGAATCCAGGACAGCAGACCATGAATATTGTTCTGGACATCTGTGTGACATTTCAGGAATAACAAAAGGGGGACACAGTCTTCTGAAAATAGTCATTGTGCTCTGTGTATAAGTTGGTAAGAGGTTGTAATGCAATACATCATGTAGGTACCCACGTCAGCATGCATAGACTGCAAAGGAACAGGTAACAGGTTTACCTAACACCTGAAGAAGGCTTCACAGCTGAAACGTTGTGTTTCCTTTCTTATCTTTTCAGCATGGAATAAACCCGTTACCTGTTCATATTGTAGCACTTCCGGGTTCACATGCGTATGTGCCTTCGCCACTCCAGCCTCAGGTTGACCCTCCACTAATGGGGCTCAAACCTGGACCTCCAGCATCACTCGACAGGGAACCAGCCAGCTGAGCTAAAGGCAGATCTCCCCTCAGCCCACCGGCTGAGGTCCCTGCTAGTCAGAGGGAAGGGCGGTGACGTCACCATGCTGGCATTGTTTGCAGTAGCACCATTACATTAGATATCAGTGGTAAACACCTGTTTGAAACGCACATAATCCCGAGATTTGTTTAAATTAACATCATATTGAACTTTTGATTGAGCAATGGTTAATGGCCAGTAAACGTACCACCTCTACAGGACCTTAGACGCGGATGGCTGCATACTCTGTGTCCTCCAGGGGCTCTGAGGAGCGTGCAGCAATTTTGTCGCTGTTGTGGTTCAAGGCTGCGTACACAATGGGGTACACTTCCTCTTCTCCGCGCTCTACATTGTCATAGACGTCAGAATGATCCACCATTACTGCAACGTGGGAAGGGACTTTTTGTTTTGTGGGTGAAACACCGTTGGGAGCTGTCCTCTTGGACCTGGATTTTCTCCGGACACCGTCGTTATCGTACGTGGTGTTCGTCTCGCTGGCAGGACCTGCGGTTTGGGAACGCACACTCCTAGGCCGGTCAGGGAGACCGGGAGGAGCACTGCCTTGTCCAGATGGCTTTGGTGCGATGTGCTGACAACACGACAGAGGAAAACAATTCTGAGTGACTGTCGTCTGGCCAGACGTGCACAAGAAAACAAAGTGAGGAAAAATATCCAAGACAGCAATGTTATGAGGAATATATTCTGAGATTTCCACAGAACTTTTCGGTTTGGGTTATAAACACCAGACATCTGTATCAGGTCTCCCATGACACACAGGACCAAATGATTAGATATGGGTGTTTGCCTGCTTCTTTGTGTGTTTGTTCAAAGCATTTTTAAATATGAAAGTTGTGTTTTAAATAAAACAGTCTGTACATCACCAATGTGCTGATAACACGAGTATGATTTTTATTAAGCACTGAAAAATGCTGCATTTTGTCATGTTTATTTTTGTAGCTGTGCAGTACTGCTGGTAAGACTCTTACCTGTTTTGTCTGGACTGGTGCTGCAGATTGTGGTGCTGCTGAACAAAACAGAAATCAGAATGAGTTAGGAACACTGCTGACCTACCAGACCAACAATCTCTAGTCAACACTAATGTCGCAGAATGAGGGCCGTTGAAAAAAGGAACAGGCTGTGATTAATTGGGTTGTGTTGATGGCCAGTGTTGTGTTAATGTTTGCCCCCCCTCAAAGTTTCCAACTTCAAGTTTTCTAATGCAGGAACTGCAGACCAAGCGAGCCATTGGCAGTGGAATGAAGATACTGCACAGAGACATTTAATACTTGGAGGCAAGGAGCAAAGAAACTGGTCTGGTGAATCGATACCAAACCAAGGGGAACGTAGTGCAGCCTACAGAAGAACTCCTGTCATAGCCAAAATGGAGACTGAGGAAATTAGACTGTGTGGCATCCCTCTTCTCTGCATTGCTGGTCTTCTCTGTATCATCAAGACTTTCTAACTCCCTCTCCTCATCACCTAAAAGGACAGCTGACCCTCGGGAAATCTTTTGACCCTTGGAAGCACCTTTTGTTGCTGCAAATGCTGTTCTCTTTGTGTGCTTGGAGTAATAGTGAATATTGTACTTAGAAAATAAAAAGGGCACTTACTGTATACGATACTAATGCTTGTTGCTGGTCAGTGTGTGCATTGGTAATTCTGGGAGATGAACAGAACCTGTGGTTTAGTAGAGGGGGCCTAGCACCCCATTATATTGCTAGGAAGCGTATACATGAGGCAGGGATAGTTCTTGTTTGAGGGGTCACCTCACTGTGACTAACACAGAATTGCAGTAATGGACTGGCCATTCAATATTGATTGTCTCAGCAGCAGATGTTCCGGGCTGGGTAACGTGCATTTGAGAGAGCAGGTGTGGACTGAAGAAATCCATTGGAGGGCAGAGGGGGAAGGTAAGTTAACAATAGAAGGGAAGGGAAGACCTTCCTGGATTTTTAGAGAGGTCAAGGTCATCCAGGAGGAGATGCAGAAGGTGATATTGGATGGTAAAGGCAGGAGGAATGAGGACAGCTTAGGGATCATGAGATGGTAGGAGACTCCATGAAAGAGGAAAATTGCAAGAGCTCCCAACTGTGATCCTGGAGGCCCACACAAGCTGATTTTCATTCAAACTGAGGTTTCAAACTTGAGAGTTGAAATACCACCAAACTCTCAATTGACCTAATAGCAGAATCTGAGCTCCTTATGCAAAACATAAGTACTCAAAAGAAACTGAATCCAAGATAAAGTTTCTTTTGCCATGTTCAAAGCACTTTGCACCAAAAACATCAAGGCAAGGCGGTGTTAGTTGCGGTGCGGTGGGTCTGTGGCTAGGGATCTGCGCCTGTGGCTGGAAGGTTGCTGGTTTGTATCCTGCGGCTGGCAGAGGAATCCCTGAGCAAAGCCCTTTACCCCAACTGCTCCAGGGACACTGTATAAATGGCTGACCCCAAGCTTCTCTCCCTGTCTGTGTGTCTCATGGAGAGCAAGTTGGGGTATGTGTAAAGACAAATTACTAATTCAAGAAATTATATATGGCCAATAAAGTGATGTTAGCTGAAGACTCACTTGAGGAAAGGGATGAAAAGGGATGAAAATCAAGAGTTGTGGGGGTTCCCCTGGACCAGAGCTGGGAACCCCTGGATTAGAGAACCCAGAGAGCAGATATAGAAACATAACAAGAGGGTTCCCAGCACTGAGCCTTGAGGGACACCTGTGGTAGGGGATGGAGAGCAGAAGAGCAGAAAGCAATCCACAACACGATGAAAGCTTTTTAAGGTGCTGTGATACCGCATGACAAGTCACTCACATTTTTGCCCTTGGATGCAGAGAAATGAGATGAACATCACAATTATGATGAAAGCCACCACTCCAGCACATATGTAAATATAGGTTAGCCAGTCAGGATTCCCTTGCCGTGGGATTTCTTCACCTGAAAAATAAAATAAATTTATGCCAATTAATATTAACTGATGATTTTACAATGATGTATTTTTTGCAGGAAATCTTAAAGAAGTAATCAAATATCATCACATCACAGCTGATTTAGTTAGGTGGTATGTTTTATTTGATATTATATAAGAAAACAAACATCTGAAACACCCATCAAACTGCAAAGGATTTCTCCTCTTATAGTTCCTTCTGGATCAAACTTGTTAGGCCTGTATTGTGATCCGCATTTCAAATTATGAGCATGCATACATATTGATTGGTTTCCATTGCAATTTGCAGTTGGAGAGTGGAGATGATGTTTTGTGTTTTTCTAGGAGATATTTATGATGTTATTTTAACTGGTCCTCCCTGGTCTTGAAATGTTGTATTTTTAATCATCTTACCTGTCGTGTTGTTTTCACTGATATTAACTGTTTTAACTGCCTCTGTAACAAGAAATATACAGAATAACATGATAACATGATCTTTGTGATCTTTGCATTGTGATTCTGCCTATTGACCTGCTTATTGACCAGAGTTACGTCTAATTTCTTAAATTATTTAAGCAGTTGCATTGATCAGAATGATGTAATTAGTATTTCTGTACTAGTTTGATGTTAGGACTGTATATTTTTAAAATCATCTAAGCTGATCGCACTGGAACTTTACAGTGGCAAGTGTCATACATTCTGAAAACTTGTTTATTGAAGGCGTTACAGTAAATGTTCATCATAATAGAAAATAGCACAAATGTTTATACACAGAATAAGTTAGCCACTGTGAAGTACTAGAACACATTTAAATTAGGGGCTAACAAATTTCTAATTGTTTTGTAGCATATAACAAGAAGAGAATTATGCAGTGTGCATAGTATGGTACCTCCTATCCTCTACAATGGCTTAAATGTCTATCATTACTAATGGTTTAACAAAGTTGATCAGTGTTAATATCTGTTATTTCAGTTATTTCACCTGTTCATATGCATTTATGAAATGTCATGTCTAGCCTAAAGTATTTCCAGTGTAATTTTATTAAGATAAATGTAAAATCCTAGTTGGTAACACATTTCATATCAGCATTTGATACATTTAATTTGTGGAATAGTCATTTTAGGTTAGTTGTATTGATTACAGGTTAGTTTAGACAATAACAAGGAAGAGTCAATCAAACTTCGAAAGCATTTTTTTATGTCTGATTTTGTTCATCACCTGATTTTTCATCATTTTGACAGAATCTACCAGAATGTACATTGAGTGTGGTAACTTAATAAATGTGCAAAAAACAAGCCTATGTTATTTTATCATACAGTTCTGTCTTTCAATATACATGATAGTATAATTTGGTCAAATTAAATATCCTTATTTTAATTTGGAATATATTTCATATCATAACTGCACGTCAAAGCTATTGTCTGTCACTGCTGATTAAGTTTTAATGTTATGTGAGTCTTTGTGAGTCTTTCAGAATGTATGCACATTTTAAAAGTTCAATGGTACATTTTATCATTTGAACATATCATTTCTAAAAATGAGAGCATTTCCACATGTGTTCAAACTATTGTACTGTATGTCCCTGACATTCAATCTACACAATGAAAGCAAAGGTAGGAAAGACGTGACTACTCACCTGACACAGAGACTAGTATGGAGTGGCTCACAGTACTTTGGTACACAGAGCTCACATTTGCTGCAGCTTCACATCGATACTGACCACTGTCACCCAAGGTTATTTTAGAGAAGGTTAGAGAATAGGTGGCTGAATTGGGATCCTTCTCCTTCCACTCAGTTGTAATAATGTCTGTCTTATTCACAGGGTTGCATGTTTTCTCATGAAGTTTACACCATTTCACCGCAGGTTTCTCCTCACAGTATTTAAGCCCACAGTTTATTGTTAATCGTCTCAAAGCAGGACTATTCAACACAGAGTTTCGTGGGACAAGAACTTCCAAGGCACATTCATTTTCTTTTCCTATAAAAAAGGAAAAAAAGTCACTGAGCCCTGTATAGAGAATGTTCCATTTCCCTTTATTCTTCAACATTTTTAATTTAATAGTATTAAAATATTGAAAAGCAACATCATTGAACAAATAAGAATGTGCTCTTCTTCTGATAAACATTCAAAGCATTTTTCCCTCGAAATATTGAGTATGATACTAAACAATTCGTGGGCAAAGAAATTACTTGTCTTGGGGCTAAGAAGTAGAACCTAGGTTGTTAAATATTAATGGTTTCTGTTCAAATATATCAAAATATACAAGTGAACATTCAAAAGAATTACTTATTCAATCCTATTAGTTCTTAAATTGTTTATTTTTCCTTCTCAATTTCCTTTTTTCTTCATACAAATTCTATCAATCTTGTAATTCTTTACCATTGATGGTCAATGCATAACCTAAAAGCTTTGCAACCTATTCTTTAATCTTAATCTATTATTGCTTATATGCAATTTTAAAACTATATACAAACTTTTAACTTAAATTAGATTTGTCCCTCAGACTCAGCCAGCCCTGGAACGCAGTGGAAAGCTTGATAATAGTTAACCATCAAATCAAGTTCACAGAATGTTAAAACTGGCATTTCTGCTGGTAGCAATGAAACAATTATCCTTGAACACTGTCATGGATAATCACCATTTACTGTAATGGTGGCATCTGAATAAGGTTATTACCAGGATCTTCTGGGATTCAGTAGGGTTACTGCTAATTAAAGGGGAACTGCAGGCACAAGTTCTAGGACTGGTTATTAAATCTCGGCAACAAAATACATTCATTGACATTATAGAAAAAAAAATACGCATTTTGAATTAAGCACAAAAATTTTGTTTTCTTGCATTCAAATTCCCAAACTGCAATGTGATGTAGCCCTTCCTGCTCCTTGGTCACCATAATAATTAATGCAATTTGATTATATGAGTGAATTAGTACAGGTTGTGCAGCTGACATTTTGCCGCAGAAATGTTCCAACATGGTCTGCATGCAGAGTTAACTAGTAAGTAGTATTTGTCAACAAAACCATGCCAAAATCGAAAGCAATTCCTATTTCTATTGGATTATAACAAATGTAATCACAGGCCTGCTTGTTTACAATGTTGTAAGGGGCACACATGTCTCCCGAATTTTGTTGCCTCATTCTGAATCGCAGAACATGGTGCTGTGCATACTATCTATTTTGTGATGTAAATTGGAGGTTTTACAAGTTACTGTTTAGATTTTACTTTTATTGTGATTTGAAATGCACTCATCAATGCTTATTATTTCTAATCCTGCAGTATAAAGATAGCATTGCACACCTACAGTCAATTACCATCAAATATTATGATGTATTTCTGATTGATCTGAATGGTTACATCTTTCAGTTTGAGAATTAAACTTTGGTGTAAAATAAAGGCCAGCTTTTCAGAAAGCTAAATATACCTTGTTGAAGGCTATACTTGTTATCTTTGTATTTTATCCATACCCCTTCACGATCGCATGGTGTGGCAAATGCGAGAAAAAAAACCCAGGCCATAATAGGAGACTCAGAGACATTCAAAGCATTATTTAATCTTGTTAGACTGTGAGCAGCCAGTGAGTTTCAGCAGTCGGTCACAGTTATTGGCTTCCACAACCCCTCCAGGCTTCTAGGATGTACCAGCGGTCCCCTTGCAGAGGAACCTGTTCAGTCCCAAAAAAAGTCCTCTTCACCTCCTGCACAACTATTCTTCTACTCTTCTGTAATCCACTAGAGAAGCCAAATTCCTGTCAGTCCTCTCTGTTCTATTTCTAACAAACCAGGGACACCCTAACACACTAAACTTGGCTAATCCTCCTAATAAATAGCCAGACGTCCCCTTTAATAAGAAGATTTATGTTCCTTGTCTCCTCAGATACCTACTGGCGCAACACACGGCTTAACTCTTTTGGCACTCAGCGTCCAATTATAAAGGGGGTAGTGTGGTGGCTCTGTGGCTTAGGTTCTGTGCCTGTGTCTGGAAGATTGCTGGTTTGTATCCTGTGGCTGGCAGTGGAATCCTACTCCATTGGGTCCCTGAGTAAGGCCCTTAACCCCAACTGGTCCAGGGCTGCTGTATAAAATGGCTGACCCTGTGCTCTGACCCCAAGGTAAAAATTTCATTTTGGTTCCCTTAATCAATCAGATCCACTCCAAAACAAACACAGATACTAGCTTGTTTCTTATTGGCCTCTCTAAAAGACTCCGGACTGGAGGCTAGCTGCTGATGTTAAAGCACAGGAGCAAAACATCTGTGCTGTCTAAACTCTAATTCTTACTCCTGACTCGCTCCCTGAACTGCAGAAGCTTAAACAAGGCCCCCAAACTCTACATTCTGGCTACTAATGTTACCCAATAGTAACTCCTGTGGAATGGGAATTACCCACTGGACCAATTGTATTAGCTTTTTCCTAACAGTGACTTTCCAGTCACACAGAACACAGATCAGAAGTGTCCAATCTTTACTCCAGGGGAGGCCTTGGCCATAGCCTAGGCTTGCACATGGCATCTCATTAGTCCGTACTTGTTTCACTTTTTAATAGATTTACTGCATCTCCTAAAGCACCTTTCATCCCAAAGTGCTTTACAGATAGATTGACAACCTGTGAAAAATATTAATTCAATGCATTTGCTATTCCATTGTCATCATCCATAATGAACTGTAATAAACCCACTGCTATCCTTTACACACTGAACTTCTTCCTGTACCATTGTTGAACTGTAACAATTCAAATATTTTCTTGTTCCTGATTCTATTCTTGATTTACCTATGAAACTACCTAGGCCTATTTGCACACTATGGCAGATGCCGAACTATCTGTTTTTATTTTGACTCCAACTCACTGATTATTAACTGTGTTTCATTTTACATATACTCATTATACATATCTCATATCTTAAATTTTGAATCTAAAGTACCACCTATTGTATGAAAACTGGCCATCTATTGTGGGGGTGAACTGTTTGGTGGGTTCTTTTGAAATTTCTGTTCCTTTTCCTCTTTTACAAGTTCTTTGCAGGTAGTTGCTCTTAGTTTTACCACTTCTCTGCCTCCTTGTTGTAATAGAGTGAAGTGCTAGAGAAGCCAAAGAGGCTGTAGTGTTGTGATTTGTGTGTCGTATAGTTGTCAGAGTGGAGTCAGCATGTGAGCATATGTCACTGCAAGGTGGCTGTTAAGTTGAAATTATTCAATAG